TGGTGGAAGGGGGGAAGTGGTGGAAGGGGGAAGTGGTGGAAGGGGGGAAGTGGTGGAAGGGGGGAAGTGGTGGAAGGGGGGAAGGGGGAAGTGGTGGAAGGGGGGAAGTGGTGGAAGGGGGAAGTGGTGGAAGGGGGAAGTGGTGGAAGGGGGAAGTGGTGGAAGGGGGAAGTGGTGGAAGGGGGAAGTGGTGGAAGGAGGGAAGGGGGGGAGCTCAAGGGGAATAAAAAACGGGAGGAGAGGAGAGGCACGTCTTTCCCGCCCCCTTCCTTGCACGGCCATCACATCGAACGAGCGAATCTTACTCCACGATGGACTCGGAGTACGACTGGTGTAGTTGTAGTACGACTTATTAGTTGCGACAACTAGACAAGAACGAGAACTGCCTATGCCTAGGCAGTGGCAGTGCCATAGGGTCCTACCCGGTGTTTGGCCCTCAGTGCGAGCGCCCCTACTAAATGGCCCTTTTTACGGCCCTGTCGTACTTTGTCGTACTTGGTGGGCGGACAACAGCGAACGAAATCAAATCTTCCGTGCCCCGACATTCCCAATCCCCTCAGCACTCGGCCCTCACCATGAATTTCGAACTTTGGACACACCCCGTGGATCCAGATCCATTTCTGATTTCCTTGCAGCATATCATGATCCCCCTCACCCCCTACTCCCCTACTCCCCTCCCACTCTCCTCTCCTCTCTAAAATGAACGTGTGTGTTTTTTAATTAAAAAAAAGGTTTGCACCATCCATCAGCCCAATTCGGACATCACGGAATGCTTCGACGACTTTCTGCTGCTGTTTGGCGGCCGTACAGTGTACGGCGGGCTGTGGTCCGGTGCCGTGGACTTTTTCGCGCAAAACGGCTTCAGGTTAGTGCGGTTGGGTAGTGCGGTTAGTGCGGTTGGGTTAGTGCGGTTGGGTAGTGCGGTTAGTGCGGTTGGAAACGTGTATGGTGTGTGCTTATGTATGTCTGTTGTCTGTACGAGCAAGGGTTAATCAGGGAAGGGAGTCCAGGGAGGACCGGCAGGGGGGGGAGTCCCGCGCGCGTTTCGTTTTCTCCTGCTCCTCGTCCTCCTTTCTGTTTTTCCACACACAACCAAGAGATAATAAATTCATTTATCGAATTGGAAAATGTACGGCACAACAAGGGAAGTGTGTCGTACTCCATGGCCCTATACCATTTTCCTGCATCCCCACTTTTGCAAATGAGCTTTTCCTGGGCAGTTTGTATGTATGTATGTATGATGTTGTTACAGGGTGGTATAGCTCCGCCAGCGGCCCCCTTTCCCTTGGAGGCAGTTCCCTGCTCTCCCCTGCGAGAGGGGCACCCTAATCCATTCACCCCGTCCGACTTCAGAACGTATTCGTTGGGTTCAGCAACTCACCACCAGCATCCAACCAAATCTAGCGGATCAACGGCGCCACAACGTAGTTCCTTGTCAGCGCGCAAATTGCTATAATCACGTCCTACACCTCCACAAGATGGGGGGCCCACCTCCCAATTCATCACCCCTCACACACCGAGGGGTCGGCAGGCCGATTTGAACCCGGAATCTCCGGGAACAGAAGTCAGGCCTTAACTTCTGCCAGCCACCAGTATGTACGTATGTATGTATGTATGTATGTATGTGTATATTCCATCCGGGCCTTTACCCTCCCGCCTTTTTCCTCCTCTCCCCTCCTCCCTCTCCCCCCTCTCCCCCCCACCCTTCCAGCTGCCCAGCATTTAAGAACCCCACGGACTTCTTCTTGTCGGTCATCACTCGCAAGGAGGGTGCGGCGGAGACACTGGCGGAGGTGTACGGCAAGGCACGACCGGCATTGCTGGCGGCGCAGCGGGCAGCGGCAACTGCATTGGAGGCGACGGAGCCGGGTGGTGGTGGCGGCGGCGGTGGCGGCGGCGGTGGTGGCGGCGGTGGCGGCGGCGGTGGCGGCCAGGAAGAAGATCCGCAACAACAACAGCAGCAGCAGCAGCAGTTGGCTCATGTGGTAGTGGTGGCGGGGGGAGAGGTGGAGGCGGCGGCTGAGGAGGAAGGAGGGGGGTCAGTGATGTCCGGCGGCGGTGGCGGCGGCGGTGGCGGCGGCGGTGGCGGCGGCGGTGGCGGCGGCGGTGGCGGCGGCGGTGGTGGCGGCGGCGGGGTGGGTGAGGTGCCTCATGCCGCTGCCGCTGCTGCGCCGTTGTGGTTCCAGGTGGGGGTGTGGGGGGAGGTGGTGTGTGTGTTTGTGTGTATGGGCAATGGTGGTTTTGGAGGTGTGCGGGTTTGGAAAGTGGGGCTGGCGGGTTGGCGGCTTGAAGGAAGCGACACACAGCCGTGCACACGCGGAGAGAAGAGGGAGAGCGCGTCCTCCTTCTCTCTCCTCCTTTGCCTCCCTCCCTCTCCTCCTCCCTCCCTCTTTCTCTCTCTCCTCCTCCTTTTTTCACCGCTTTTTGGAAGTAGTGAAGGCTTACCGGGGGTTCTTAGGGATCTGTTTCTGTTCCTGGTCCTGGGAATCTGGTGGGAATCTGGCGGGAATTTGGCGGGAATTTGGCGGGATTGCCACATTTGCTGAAGTCATTGTTTACTATTACGGCTGCTGCGGCTGACAATTTTTGCTGCCGTACACATCCGTACACACGCGCGCGCAGGTCTACGTGCTGTCGACCCGGTACTGGCGGACGTGGATTCGGAACCCCGTCATGATGACGAGCGAGCTGGTGCAGTACGCTTTCACAGCTGTTTTCATTGGATTGATGTACTGCAGGTACGGAAAGGATTACCGTAAAAATACTATCCAGCTCTGACTGTCATTATTTAAATGTGCGCAACGAATATATATACAGAGAAGTACACCGTACATATCCGTACATGTCAGCACACACGTGAAAAAGCTAAATAACATGTTCCTGCTGCTTTTCAACACACAAAAAGACATCTGTCTATCTGTCGTACTAATGTGAACGAACATCCGTCCTTCATTCTCCTCCCTTAAAAGATTTGTCCTCCCTCGCTCATCCCCTTGCTTTGGTGTCGTACACATACTTTCGTACATAGACTTCCGTACATTGACACGTATTGCCCCCTGACACACACAAACCCTTCTGTCCAGGTTCGATAACGTGTTGGGTCGGGGCGACTACAACCGCGCAGCCTGCATCTGGTTCTCGTTCGCCATTCTCTGCTTCACGCCGTCGTACACCGCAGGTGGGAGCGCAAAAAAGAGGCATTCAGGAGGCGGAACGCGCGAGTTGACGGCTTTGTTACTAACTGTAATTTTGACTCCTAGATGCTTGGGTGGTATGTACGTACTGAGATGATATGTACTATACTACACTGTATACTATACTATATAATCTATATTACTATATAATCTATATTACTATATAATCGTATTACTATATAATCTATATACTATATACTATATGTACTATATTATATGTATGCTAAATGATATGTCACTTAACACGATGTCATGTTTAGCTGACCGCATCCACCTTCGTACACATCCACATCCACATCCACTGGACATTGGCGTACAGGCACATGACATGGAAACCAAGTAAATAGAAACGAAATAAAACGTAGTAAATGTATTATTTGGTAATATTGTTTGGTAAACGGCGGCGGTGCGCATGCAGTGACGAACTGGGCTTCGGAGCGTTTGCTATTGAAACGGGAGTTGGGTCAACGGTTGTACGGCATGACGGCGTACTACCTTTCCCGTAATTCCGTACTATTACCGTTTCAAATGGCGCAATGTGCGCTATTCCTGTCCGTGATGTACTTCTTCGCGGGTTTCCAGGTGGGCTTTATTGAGGGGAGGGCGGGTGAGGGGGAGAGAGGGGGGAAAAGAGGGGGGCGAAAGAGAGGGTGGGGGCCGGAGAGAGAGAGAGGTCGCTCTGGGGCAGTAGTGAAGCAAAGCCGCGCAAAGGCTTTAGGTTTTAAAAACCCCAAAACGGCCGCGGCGGTTTAGCCCGTCAGGGCGTAGGACGGCTTTGCGTGTAGGAGGCGGTGCGTGTGGGGGGGAGGGGAGTGTGAGGTGGCGGGGACGGATGCTGTGTGCAGTCTGTCTTTTCCCCGCAAGGTGAGGAGAAACCCTTGCCACCTATGTGTATCGCATCTATATGATTAGGAGTTCCGCAGGTATTAGTTGGGTTAGTTAAAATGAATTCGTAATTCCGTAACTTTCTGTTTAGGCGCCTCAATCCTGTCCCAAACCTCTTCTTTTTAACGCCCTCCTTCTTACATTTGCTGCTCCCTAACTCCAGTCAGTCCTTCGCCCTTTCCTCCACCCTTTCCTTCCTTTCCCCACTCTTGCCCTGAAAAGATCTTTTCCCCCGTTGTTCCCCCAACAACCCCCCGGCATTGCCGACCCATTGCTCAGTCCTCCGCCTCCGGCTTCTTCACCTTCTTCGCGGTGTTGTCCATGTTTCAAATCGTGTCTGAGGGCATCGGGGCCTGCTGCGCCGTGGCCACCCGCACGCCCACCTCCTCTGTCATCCTGTTGACCTTCGTGCTGCTGGTACTGCTCGCCTTCTCGGGATTCCTCACCACCACAGTAAGCAAGATTATCATCATCATCATCATCAGTAGCAGCAGCAGCAGCAGAAATAGAAGAAGTACAAGAAGTAGAAGAGGAAATTGTTGGTAATAGATAAAACAAAGAATGTAATGTCCAAGACGCAAATTATATACCCCTGTGTAGCAGCTGACCGCTGAAAAGGTCTCTCGAGTTGCTGGCGGTCGCGCTCTGCGCGTATTTATAGCACCGTACTGTGTACCGGCTGCTACACCCTGTTACTACAAGTTACAAGTGCCGCACGAGTGCGGGGGGAGTTCGTCAAAGCCGGGAGGCCATGGACTATATATATTGGAAGTTAATTCCACCGTACAACGAACGGTAGTTTTGTTTGGTCCTGCTACCTAGACCCCACCTCATCCAGTCACCCAACGTCCGTAGAGATCGATCAGCCATGCAAAACGTGTACTAGCCATGCAAAAAAGCGGATTTTTTTTCTTCTACAACACGCGGTCGACAGGATTCGAACCTATGCGGGAGATCCCATCTGATTTCTAGTCAGACCCCTTAACCACTCGGGCACGACCGCGGATGATTAGAAATCAAAAGACTATCCTACATAAAGTGATCAATGCGGTACGCGTAAAGTGATCAATGCGGTATGCGGTACGCGGTACGCGTAAAGTGATCAATGCGGTATGCGGTACGCGGTACGCGTAAAGTGATCAATGCGGTATGCGTAAAGTGATCAATGCGGACTCTTTCGATTTCGTACCTGCCTACCGTACCGTCCTGCGCTGTACCTTGGAATCCTACCAGGTGCCGGTGTACTTCCGTTGGGTCCCAAAAACGTCGTACTTGACGTACGCTTTTTCTGCGCTTGTTGAGCGGGAGTTCTCCCACATCAACTTCTACGACGAGAGCACGGGAATGGTGATACCGGGCATGGAGGTCAGGAAGGGCATGAAAGGGGGGGATGGCCTAAACTGCGGACGTGAAGGATCGATTTCTTCCTACACTTAAGGGAATTGTAGTGGCCCGAGATCACTTGGACAGGAGGACATGGGCGGGGGAGAGAGGGGTGTGCATGTGTGCGTATATGTGTGGCTGCGTGTATGTGTGTGTGTGTGTGTGTGTGTGTGTGTGTGTAAAAGCCTGAAGTGAGTTTCGGAGGTGGAGGCTTGGAAGGGCCCACACACCGAGAGTGTGCGCGTGTGCGTATGGGAGGGTGAGAGGTCGTGTAATACACAATACCCACATCAACCCGACACACATACATACCTATGAAGAGACCTCTGCCGCGTGGAGAAGCCCGCATAGATAATACTCGCGTCACTCACCTTCCCTCTGCCCCGCTCTGCCTGTACCTCCCCTTCCATGTACGGCAGGCCTTCCCGTCCACCCTCCGTACGGGTCTGTCGTACAGCCAAAACATTGGCGTCCTGGCTGCCCAGGTGGGCGGCATGGAGGTGATCAAGTTGACCACATTTCATCTGGCACACCGATTTAATTTACTGTAATTCATGTGGGATATGGTACGACAGGACGCAGTACGGCACATCAACGCCGTGCGGCAGGACACGGCGCGATAACGTGCGTGTATGCATGCGACGAAAGGGATGTCCCCCACTTAAATAGAGGAGAGGGAAAATGTTGTAGGGAGGAGAGGATGAGGGAAGGGGAGGGAGAGAGGGGGCAGGCAGCGTGGGAAGACCGCAACTCAAAGATTCTTTGCTTTTCCTAAGTCCGTTACATCTCGTAGTGCTTGAAATGGCATGAGCTTTCTAGTTGGGAGACGTTCATACATGGATGGATGGCATGAGCTTTGCGAGCATATGCATATGCCTGCCATAGGGTGATGTTTTGTTTGAAAATAGCGCGGACGATGAATCGTTGCATTCCCATGTTTTGATTGGTTGTTGGTTACTTCCCAAAGACAGCGCAGACGCATTTTAGGGAAATATGGCTCAATTGGTTGGTTAGGTCATTGTTGGAGAGAGGAAGCACGAAATACGTTTTGGATGGCTTGGAAGGTTGGTGTGTATTTCCCAGGGGTTGGTCGTTCGGGATATTTTGGTGCAACATGCGTTTTTGCAGCTGGGGATGCGGTGTATGCTTTGCAGTTAGTTATTTAGTTGGTTGCAGTTCATGTCGTTGCAGTTCAGTTCTCGTCCCCCCCCCACCCATGGTGGTAAGAACTTTTCGGGAAACGAAAAGCGGGTTAGGATTTCATGTCTGTCTGTATGCCTGTTTGGCCCTGTCTTGTCGGTTTGGCAAGAATAAACGCGTTACTGTGTTTTATCACATACGAGAAAGACAAATGAGCTGAAAGAATATTAGTTAATTTCTGCATCTTGTATATTTAGCGTTTTTCGGTTTCAATTATCTACAGTATGGCTTGTGGGTGTACTGCATACAATGGTATCGGCGGAGGGGGTTCGATTGGAATGCGATTGGTGTTCTTGGTGTCCTCGTGTTTTTCCCTCCTCTTTCCTTGAGCAGGGGTTATTTCACCGCCAGGTCGCAAGGATGGCCATGTTTGCGAGGAGGACCAGGCCTGTGTGCGCGTTTTGTAATTTGCGGTGGACCTTGCAATGGCTTTTGGCAGGAAAGGGATAATAAGTGAAGCACCTGCTTGGATGGACGCGCTAAGAACGTTTCCATGCATTGCAGGTTAGGATCCTCAAGATGAGTTACCATATTCAATAAGAACATTTACTTAAATTAATAACTTTACGCGGTCGACAGGATTCGAACCTATGCGGGAGATCCCATCTGATTTCGAATCAGACCCCTTAACCACTCGGGCACGACCACGGATGCGCAAGGTAGCAAATTAAAGTATTTGGTCGACATCTGTACTTTGGTCTACTTGTGTGTTTGTGTGTGACAGGGTTGCGGCTGATGGACCCCTTCCTGTAAAACTACCCATACGAGCCAAAGGCCCAAGGGCAATACCTAAAAGCCACGGAGAAAAGGAAACGCCGCACTATCAGCCGAGACTAGCGCCCAAAGGGGATAACTGAGTTGCGGCGAGCCCACATACGTTCCAACACCCTCGCCAGACGTACTGCTTCCCAGTTCACGGCCTCCAACATGCTCTGTTAATGATCGAATCCCTCTTCCGCACGAGTATTGCTCATGCAATTTAACTGCAGGAGATAACAGGAGGGTAGGATCCAGGCTGGAATTAGGGAAGAGCTCTGTCGCAGAATTAGCCTGGATTTATTCCTGACAAAAGAATTGGTCCGTCGGGGTCTTGAATTGTTCTGGCAGGCTCGCCAGAGATATTCGAATTGCGCTGTGGAGCCCCGGAATTGGGCTGTACTGGGCCTGAATTGGCCTGTCCGGGTGCCGAAAAGCCAGCTTGATTGCAGAGTCTGTGGACGCCAGCACATGGTTAACTCGTGTTGCTGTGGCCACCCAGCGCCATGCACGGTTCTGTATCCACAGTGTTGTGTTCAGGCGCGTGTTTACATCTCTTCGTCTGTTGAATGATTGGATGAATGAATGAATGAATGAATGAATGAATGAATGAATGAATGAATGAATGAATGAATGAATGAATGAATGAATGAATGAATGAATGAATGAATGAATGAATGAATGAATGAATGAATGAATGAATGAATGAATGAATGAATGAATGAATGAATGAATGAATGAATGAATGAATGAATGAATGAATGAATGAATGAATGAATGAATGAATGAATGAATGAATGAATGAATGAATGAATGAATGAATGAATGAATGAATGAATGAATGAATGAATGAATGAATGAATGAATGAATGAATGAATGAATGAATGAATGAATGAATGAATGAACGAATGAAAGGGGTTTTACGTTGTGGCGTCTCGCCCTGCCACTGGTTCGGGTCGGTTCGGGTGGTGGTATCTTTTCGTCGAACACACACACACACACACACACACACACACACACACACACACACACACACACACACACACACACACACACACACACACACACACACACACACACATGAATGAAATGAGAACCGAGGACGGTAACCAGGCGTGTAGGGTTCCTGCCACTTCCTGGCCCATGTACAGAATCAAAACCAACACAGTAGTTACAGAGTTCCAATAAGTTTCATAAGTTCCTTCAACTACCGCGATTCTGGATGCCTGCCTGAGAGTTTCCGGGCCGACCCCGCAATTGGTCGAAATTGCTCGATAGAAGGGTTGAAATTGGCACGGGGTCTACACCTGGGACAAGTTAAATTGCCGGGACAGGCCCTTGAATTGGCCTGACAGGGACACAAATTGGCCTGGCAGGGACATTCCAACAGTCAGGATTAGCCTGACAGGGACACGAATTGGCCTGGCAGGGACATTCCGACAGTCAGAATTAGCCTGTCGGGTTGTCGAATTGGCCTGGCAGGGACATTCGGACAATCAGAATTGGCCTGTTCGGGGCGTCGAATTAGGGAAGCACAGGAATTGTGCGACCGGGGCAGTCCAAAGATTTGCTCTCCCCGACCTTGTGTCCTACCCTCTAAGATAACCGATGCTCTGACCAACCCGGAATGGGAGGGTTGGGGAACCTCAATGTTACGACTGTTTTCCTTCTTGGAGTGCAATATTTATAACGGAATACCGCAAGAAGTCGTGGGGGTGTTGACTGCTTTCTGAGTAGGGCTCTCTCCGAAGGAGCGGTGATAACGGCACTAAGGGAGCGCTTGATGGGCGACTGGGACCATGCGCGTCTGACTGTCTTGCCAGAGGAGTACCCGGAAGCGACCGGGAGTACAGATGACCGGAAGTATAAGCACTGGGTGGGGCTGCCCTTTTCGGGTGCCGCAGCCGTCATGTGGCCAATACATGCTAAGGTTTTTCCATTCCTCGTTTAGCACATCGTAAGCTGATGCAGTTTCGTTTATGTTGCTGGGCTTTGGAGGCAAACAGAGCACAAACGGGCAAGTTTGCCATGTCCCCAGGGAGCAGCGGTTTTGCCGCTGTTGTGGCACCAATAGCCAAGTCGAGGGTGAAAAACACGCAATGATGGAATGCCCAGCCTATAATGATAGTCATGCGTAAGAAGGATTCGATCATGAACAGGGCATAAGGGTGGAGGCCATGAAATGGGAGTCAGCGCATCTGGCGAGGACCTTGAAACATATGAGAGCGCACCGCAACTCTGTTATTCCTTATGGGCCCTAGCCTGGGCTGATAGTGCGCTGTTTCCTTTCCTCCATAACTATTAGGCGTTTAGGTAGGTATTGCCCTTGGGCCTTCGGCTCGTATGGGTAGTTTTACAGGTATGGGGTCACGCAACCCCAACCATGTAACACACACACACCACACATTTATACAGGCACAAATTTAGGTGTCCTGTGTGGTTTGTTGTACAACACCGCGCCGTACAACCACTCCCTACACACGGCATCTGAAAGGCCCGGTTGCCCTCCTCGCCTCTCTCCCCCATGTAGTGGCTGGCCGCTGTAAAGGCCTCTCTTCGAGATGCTGGCGGTCGCGCTTAGCGCGTATTTGTATAGCCGTACTGTGTACCAGCTACTACATCCCCCCCCCCCACACACGCTTACCGCTCTGTCCAACTCCCGATGGTTTACAAGTTACAAGTTCCCCTCGCAAGTGCGGGGGCCCCGTCCTTAAAAGACGGTGTGGTGCCCTGGACGGTCAATACGGCCGTGATTATCGTTATGGTGTGTGATTGAAGACGGCGCTTTCCTCTACCCCTGCCCCAGGCCAGGCGGTGAATCCTGCCCTTTAGTGCCATGCGTGTCGTACTGTGTACCGCACGTCCCGCCATGAACAAGGCCAACAGGTCTGCGCTTACCCCTCGCATGCTGCTGCTGTTGCTGCTGCAATTGCTGCTGCTACTGTTGCTGCAGTTGCATCAGGGTCATCTGCGGCGCTGCTGCTGCCCGCCTGCGGGCGAAACACATACGGGGTTCTCTATCGATGGCCGCCAAGAGGCAGTAGTACAGAAGGTGTGTGTGTGTGTGTGTGTGTAGAGACGGACGCAACCACGTCGGGAGCAGAGCCCAACTGCCTCTCCCCACGCCTTCGCTGTTAATTACATGTCCATCTGTTTGGTCCATGTGCCCTCCGTAACATATATATCATATCATATCATATCACACACGCGCACATATTACCGGAAGCCATACATCAGGTGATTTAGAGGCCCACGCGTCATGCATCGCACCAGACATCTTTTGTCGTATTTAAGTTGTACGGTCATGCCACATTAACGGTCATCCAAAAATATTGTTATGTTGGTTGGAAACAAGCTTACCAACACCACAACCCGCAGCACCGCCCTGGTTAACACCGCAGGGAGATGGACATGCACAACAGCCGGGGTGGTCGAGGCAGAGAGGCAGAGGAGGAGGAGCATCCCCCGGACGTGGACCGCTGAATACCGCGAGTGCGACAGACCTTCACGCACACACGTACACCCCTGTTTTGCGTGTGTACGACACAAGTCATACAGCACTCCACCATAGGACACATGGCATGCGTCCTATCGGTCTGCCTGTCTGTCTGTCTGTCGGTCGGTCAGTGTCTGTCTGTATGTCTGTCACCCCAACGCAACGTAACACCGCAAAAAATAACTCGTAACAGACATTCGTCTCCAGCCCGGTTGATGTTCCCATCTGAATGGCTGGGCCCCTCACAGCCCTCTGGCCCCCACATCCGCGACCTCCAAGTAAGCCCCCCAGCTGCTCTTTTACGACAAAAAAAACACATCACCCCCTCCTTCTCAGGCGGGCTACGCGGCCTCAAGGACTCACACAAATAACTTGCCTACACACACACTTACACACACAGACACACGCACACACAGACACACGCACACACAAACACACGCACACACACACACACACTTACACACACTTACACACACACACACCTCCCGCATCCTTCAACAATAACCTCCCAGCAACAAGGCGCGAGGCCCTGGAGGGCTCTGAAGGGCACCGCCGTACAATTCGACCGTACAAATTCCAAGAGAATATCATGCGCTGTGCGCTTTTCGCTCCACATACGTGGTAAATTAATTCCATATTATTTTATCATATTATTATATGCGTGTTATCGGATAGTCGAAATATGTTTCTCTCCCTCCCTCAGAGCGGTTTTGTAAGGCAGGTAAGATATTACATGGTATTATGATATTATGTTTAACATTTTTAGGAACCAAACGAGACGGCGTAACTCCTCCGTTGGGCAAACACCTTGTGAAGAGCAGCTTTACCGTACGACAGTCGCTGAGACGTCACCACCAACTGGCTGAGAGAGTCCAGTTTGATGAATGAGCGGCGAGTGGTTAAAGGGGGAAGGGGGGGGCATTAATTTGGATTAATGCCGTCGCTCTTGCCTCTTTTCTTGCCTCAGCGCCAACTCCCCCCCAACACACACACACATACACACAAATACACACAAATACACATACACATACACACACATATATCAACGGAAGCCCGGCGACTGCCCGACGACTGCCTTCGGGGCCCCTCCCGCCTTGCCACCACCGCCACCCCCACCACCGCCAGGGACTTGCGTCGTGGATGTGGCGACTTGCAGTTTTTTTAACTGTTCTTCAAATTGCTTCCTGCGGGATTCGAACAGAGGATCCTTCCTTGGCGCGTAGATGGCGTAGCAGGCTTGTCGGAAAGCGGGTCATGTTAGGATCACGGGATTGGGAGCACTACCCACCTAGCGCACCACTTTCCCCCAAATCCTCCTGTGTTGACATCGCCAACTTACCCTCACCCTCGCCCTCGCCCTCGTCATCCGGACTCAATCCGCCCGGATTTGGCCCCGCATTCCAGGAACCCGTTCCAGGTCCATTCCGCCGCTAAAGTTCCATTTTCAGTATCCGAGCGGTGGTGTGTTGTGATCTGCACGCGACGCAGTCGCAGCCCTGCGCCCTGCCCTTACATATATCCAT